TGAGTACATATCCTCATTTCCACGTGGTTAGCCAGTTTTAGGCTGGACCCATCTTCTACCTCAAAACGTGCCTTTAATAAACAATACTTCTTATCATTGTTATTGAGTAGAAGTTCATTTCTTCATCAGTGATAAGAGCCGAGGCCTGTGTGTTACTGGAACTCTGATCACTGCAGCGGTATCAGACAGAAGGGGGAGAGGGAGAGAGGTTTGAGATGAGAACAAAGAGGTAGATAGCAACCAAGTTGCGGAAGAGGACCTTGTAAGTCACGTTTAGAATTTGGAGCTTTAACTTAAGGCTATTGGGAAACCTTTGAGAGATTTTAAGCAAGAAAATGACATGATCATATATTTAGTTTTAAAAGATCTTCTGGCTACTTTTTTCAGTAGTTGTTGATGTTTTTGATCCTAGATCTGAGAAGATGGTAGCCTGGACTGAGTTAGTGACAATGGAATTGAAAAGAAGAAATAGATTCAAAAGAAATTTAAGAATTAGAATTGGTAGGACTGGTGGTTGTTTGTATGTGGAAACGAAAGGGAATGAAGAATCACGGGTGTTTCCTTTCTGGTTTGAACAACTGTAAATGTTGATACCATTTACCAGAATATAGCTCAAGAGGAAAAACAGATTTGTGGAGCGGGGGGACTTTTATTTGATTTTTGGACATGTTGAATTTGAGAAGTTAAGTAAAACTGTCTTTGAGGTGTGTGTGTGTGTGTGTGTGTGTGTGTGTGTGTGTGTGTGTGTGTGTAACAAGACTAGGCTTGAGGTGTCGATTTAGTGTTTTCTTCAAGTAGGTGGTAATTTAAACTGGTAGGTGAAATTGAGTGCATGAAGGAATGCCAATGTTAAGTGATGGGTAGAGGCCAGGGAAACAAATAAATATAGCCAGAGAGATGGAAGAATATCAGGAGAATGTGGAGTAAAGGAGGCTAAGAGAAGAAAATGCATGATAGTGGCAGATCCTGTTAAGTGAATTAATAACATAAAGCCTAAAAATTTGTCTAGTAGATTCCATGATATAGCAGTTATTCATGACCTTGGCAACAACATTTTTGGTGGGGAGCTGGGAGTAAGTTCTAGAGTCCAGTGTAGTGATTGTAGTCTAAAAGAGAGGTAAAGAAGCAGAGTATAGACAGCTCATTCCAGAAGTTTGAGAGAGGACAATAGCTAGAGACAGATGAGGAATTTTTAACTCTTCTCTGAATGTTTCTTTTACTTTTCACCTTATTCTAGTTGAAATCCAACTCTCCCCTAAGGACACTGCTTCCTCTTAATGATAGATATTTTCTTTCCCACAGTCTCATTCCCTTGGCTCTGGGAGCGGGCCAGGCATTCTCTTTGCTCTTCACTGTCATTTTCTCCCTTCTTCTCACATTTCTCCTCCTTCATTTCAAATCTTATATTATCAGACTCTACAACCTACTATTCCCTCCTTGTTATTATCAACTTCTAAACCCTAAATTAAAATTCCTGCCACATTGTCACTCTCCAACATAACTCCATGTCATTTTTGTCATGGTTCTTGGTGATTTAAATATGCATCTGGATGATTCTTCCAATATCATCTGGATGACCTCACATTTCCTTGACCTCCTCTCTAGTGATCTTTCTTCAGTCATCCTGCTCCGACCACCAATATATATTTTTTTGGCTTCCTTCTTCTAATATCCAGACTCAAACAATCCTTTGACCCTATCTGGACTTGCAATCCTTTAATTCTATTACCTTTCCCCTAACTCTTATCTGTACCCTTCCTAGTTCCTGAGTTCTATCCTCACAATTTTAAATCCCAAGGTTAGTCACTGTAATACTTCTTTATATTCATCTTCAGCTGCCTTGTCCTATACTCTCTTCATTATACTTGCTGGGCAAAACCTAACCCAAATTTAATCCAGTTTTTACTTACTCTACACTTATACCTGCACAGTTCTTTGCAGCTGGAAAAGAATAGAAAAACAATGTTCACTTTAATTTAGGGTTACTAATCTTGAGTGAGCCCTTAATTCTGCTAGGAAGTCACAATGCATTTCCCCACTTCTTTCACAGCGTTACTCTCCTAAAACACATTTTTATACTTTTCCTTTTCTCTTCAACTTCTAATACTTCTGCCCATCCTCATTCTGAGTTGGTGACAGTATTCCTGTTTCACTGGTAAATAGAAACAATCACAAGACAACTTCCACAAGCTCACACTGCCATCTCCACCCATCTAACTGCCTCTGCTCATATACTTTGTTTTCTCCCCTGTTGCTATTAATAAATTGTCTGCTCCAGATATAAGCCAACTTTTCTCTTGTGCACTAGATCCAGTTCTCTTTTGCCTACTCAGGGACATTGTCTAGCAGTTGTCCTCTCTTCTGCATCATTAATTTTTCCCTCTCTACTGGATCTTTCTCATCAGTATACCAACACACTATTTCTCCCATTTTACTGCCTGATACATAGTAGGCTTAATAAAATGTTTGAATGAATGGATTGACAAAATGGTTGGCTAGACTTAAGCATGTTTAAATAGTTTCAAGACAGATCCAGTTGAAAGGAAGAGGCCGAAAGTCTAAGAGGGAATAAAAGAGTATCTAGATTCCTGGGGAGACAGGAGAGTATGGGCACAAATACAAGAAGAAGGGTGAACATTTGGTGGGAGGAGAGAATGTATAGGAAATGCAAGTAAATTGGCAGATTTGGTAGTGCGAGTTGTGGGAGTTTCCAGTGACCTTATTTTCTTTGTGAAATGGGAGATTATATCATATGCTGAGAAATGAGGTGCTGGAGGGTGGTTTGGGAATTTGACAGGAGTGTAGAAATTTTGAAACAGCCATGGAGAAATGGAGAGAACACTCGAGAGAAACATAGGACTGACTGTCAGTGTTGAGGATCCAGCTGAAGGTAGTAACCATGAATTATAGTGGCATCATTTTCTGCATGACAATTATTTGTGGTAAAGCTTTTCCAGTGGAGCAAGGAATGTTGGATAGAGCAGATTTGTAATGTTCATTGCCGTTATCATAAATTATTTTTTATTTTTCAAAATTTTGACTCTAGCTAGGTCTCTGTCTTCATAGAACACTGTTCTTTTACCATAAATAGTACCATTAAAATTATGGCGTCATACCCCACACTTGGAACACACTTACAAGTCAGGATTTGTGAAATGTGTAATTCGACTAGTGATTCCTAGTAAGTTCATAATGACCACATTTCTCATAAAATCGTGTACAAAGAGCCACTATTTGTCATTTAAGTATTTTGTGTTAAATGAATTTAGATGTAGTTTTACTTCTTCAGGTTGTCAGCTGAGTTAATTTAAAAATATCTGCATAGAAGACTTGAAAGCATTTGTACTTATGGGTTTTTGTTTTGTTTGTTTTGTTTTTTAGGGGCAAAGCGGCCCCGAATCACTTCAGGTGGTATATCAGAGTCACCTAGTGGATTCTCTAAACACATTCAATCCAATTTGGACTTCTCTCCAGTAAACAGTACTTCTAGGTAGGAATAGTTAATAAAGACCAAGTAGTTGTTTAATGTAATATTTACTGTGGAAAGTAATGCATATATGTATATTTTTTTGTTAATAATGAATGCCACTTTTATTGGTGTGAGAATGGTATTGTGATATAAGAAAGACCTGACAGATTTTATTTAAAGATAAATTTTTTTCCCACATCTTAATGCCTCAGTGAAGAAAATGTGAAGTACTCCAGTTCCCAGCCAGAACCACGGACAGGTCTGTCCTTATGGGACACCAGCCCTTCATATATTGATAAACTGGTACAAGGGATCAGTTTTTCTCAGCCCGCATGTCCAGATCATATGCTTCTGAATAGTCAGTTACTTGGCACCCCGGGATCCTCACAGGTAAGAGAATTTAGCTTTTCAAATAAATAACGGAAGCCCTTTATTTTTTATTGTCTTAAAGTCTTTTTTTAATGTATAAATCTTAATAGTATTAACATTAATTTATACAGATTTTTTTTTTTAGGCGAGGTAACCCTTGGTTGACCTCACAGATTGCATGGACCTTGTCAGCTTACAATCCCTTATTTTTTACGTCTATAGCACCTGGTCTTCCTATGTGGTCTCCCATCCAAGTACTAACCAGGCCCGACCCTGCTTAGCTTACAAGATCAGACGGGATCGGGCTTGTTCAGGGTAGCATGGCCGTAGACTATATAGATTTTATTGACAGAATTAGAGGAGACCTTCATGGATAAGAATCTTAAATCACAGAAAACAATTTTCAGATTATATAGCGATGATATAACTGCTTTTGTTAATATCAGATTTATTCTGCTTTTCTTTATTTGACATATAGAACCCCTGGCAGCGCTTGGTCAAAAGAATGACACGATTTTTTACCAAATTGGATGCAGATAAATCTTATCAATGCCTGAAAGAGACTTGCGAGAAATTGGGATATCAATGGAAGAAGAGTTGTATGAATCAGGTATTATTTCATTGATTTTCATTATTTCTTTTCCTGAAGAAAAAATTAAATATTTGATTAAAAAAACTATCATTATCAGTATATTTTAAAAATTTAGTTTAGTTTGAAAAAGAAATAATTAGAATTGAATGAACTTAAGTAGAATGTTTTTTACCTTAAGAAATACTATTTCTTAAAAGATTTCTCTAATTTATTAAAAATATTAAGGCTCAAGTCTGCATTTTCTTAAAAACTGTATGTAAATTCTAACAGTAACAAACAACTCCCTTCTATGAAAGATGAATACATTAACAATCCCACACTTCCTCCATCTCTTCCATTCCCACTTACCAATTTTTATTTGTTATTATAGCATATTTATAACATTGACATTCTAATGTTTTTAGTCTTTTCAAAAATCTTAATATTATGAAAAGCAAATAGAGGAGAATATTTCCTAATGTTAAAGGAGACTAAAGAGGCCTGATAAATAATGTAATTCATGATCTTTCACTAGCGTTAAAGAAAAACAGCTATAAAGCAGCAATCCCCACCCTTTTTGGCACCAGGGACCAATGCTCCTATGAGAATCTAATGCTTGATGACCTGATTTGGAGCTGAGGCAGTGATGCTGGTGCTGGGGAGTGGCTGCAAATACAGATAAAGCTTCGCTCACTTGCCAGCTGCTCACCTCCTGCTCTGTGGCCCCATTCCTAACAGGCCATGGACTGGTAGCGGTCCTTGGACCGGGGGTTGGGGACCCCTGCTATAAAGGATGTTATTAGAACAATTGGGGAAATTTGAATATGGGTTTTATATTAGGTAACATTTTTGTATTTCAGATTTCTTGGATATGATCATAGTATTGTGTTTTGTAGGAGAATGTCTTTGTTCATACAAGAAACATGTTGAAGCGAAGTATATGCTGTCTGTAACTTAGTTTAAAAGCTAAAAAAAAGCAACCAGCTACATAAAGACAAGTTAACATACTTATCTAGGTCAATGAGGCCAGTGAAGGATATAGGATTATTTATTGTACAATTCTTTCAGCTTTTCTGTAGTTTTGTAAGCTTTAAAAATTCAAAATTGGGGGTGAATGTTACTATGCAGAAATCTGAGGCCAGCCTTATATTCCCTTTACTTGCTTAGAAAATTAACTTTTTAAAAATGATTTATTGAGATATTTTTAAGATTTATTGAGATAAAATTTACGTAACAGGAAAATTATCACCTTAAACATTTTAAAGTGTACAATTCAGTAGTTTTTAGTATCATCACAAGGTTGTATAACCATCACCATTTAATTCCAGAACATTTTATTGCCCCCAAAATAAACTTTGCAATTCTCATTCCTCCTTCCTTCATTCCCTGGTAGCCACTAATTTTCTTTCTGTCTCCATGGACTACCTGTTCTCGACATTTCATATAAATGGAATCATATGATATGTGGCCCTTTGTGTCTGTCTTCTTTTACTTAGCATAATGTTTTCAAATAGCATTTATCCTTTTTATGATTGAATAATATTCCATCATATGGATAGACTGCATTTTGTTCGTGCATTTATCTGCTCAAGGACATGAGAGTGTTTCTACCATTTGTCTGTTATGAATAATGAATGCTGCTATGAACATTCTTGTACAGGTTTTTGTGTGAACATATGTGTTTTAGTTTGAAGGGCTATCATAACAAAAACCACAAACTAGGTGGCATAAGCAACAAATTTTCTTACAGTTCTAGAAACTGAAGTCCAAGATCAAGGTGTCTGGTGGGGTTAGTTACCTCTGAGGTCTCTCTCCTTGGCTTTTAGATGGCCACCCTCTTGCTGCCTCCTCATATGGCCTTTCCTCTTGTGCATGCATTCCTGGTATCTGTCTCTCTGAATCCTAATTTTCTTTTCTTACAAAGACACAGTTCAGGTTGTGTTATATCCCACCTAATGGTCTTACTTTAACTTAATTACTTCTTTAAAGGTCCTATCTGCAAATTGAGTCACATTCTAAGGTAGCAGGCAATAGGAGTTCAATATACAAATTTTGAGGGGACACAGCTAAGCCCATAACAACGTTTTCAGTTTCTTAGGTATATAGCTACAAATGGAATTGCTAGTGCATATGGTAACTCTATGTTTAACATATTGGGGAGCTGCTAAATGATTTTCCAAAGCAGCTGTACTATTTTATATTCCCACTAGCAATTTTTCCACACCTTTGCTAACACTTACTATTGTCTGTTTTTTTATTATAGCTTTTCTTGTTTGTGAAGTGTTATTGTGCTTTTGATTTGCATTTCCCTAATGACTAATGATGTTTACCATTTCCTCATATGCTTATTGACCATTTATATATCTTCTTTAGAGAAATATATGTTCAAATTCTTTGACCATATTTTAACTGGGTTGTTTTTCTAATTTTTACTATAGAATTGTAAGAATTCTTTGTATATTCTGGACACTTGACCTTTGTAAGATATCTGATATGTTAATATTTTCTCCCATTATCCCATTTTCACTTTTTGGTGAGTGTCTTATGATTCACAGAATTAAAAAAAATTTTTTTGTTGTTGCTTATGCTCTTGATACCAAACTTTAAAACTTGTCTATTCCAAGATCATGAAGATGTACACTTTTGTTTCCTTCTAACTGTCTTACTAGGATGAGCTCTTATATTTAGGTTTTCCATCTATTTTGATGAAAAGACTAATTGTTGAAAAGTCTATTCTTTCTCCATTGGATGGTCTTGGCACTGTGTTGAAAATAAATTGGCCATAGATGTATGAGTTTATTTCGGGATTCTCAATTCTATTCCATTGATCTATATGTCTTCAATTATTCCAGTACCATACTATTTTGATTACTGTAGCTTTGTGGTAAAATTCGAAATTGGAAAATGTGAATCTTTTTAAATTTTTTTTTTTTTTAAGATTGTTGTGGCTATTTGTGGTCCCTTGCATTTCTGAATTTTAGAGTCAGTTTATCCATTTCTACAAAAAGAAGAAAAGGCCTTTGGAATTTTGTTAGGGATTACATTAAATCTGTAGATTAATTTGGGGAGTATTCCCATTTTAATAATATTGTCTTTCCATTTATTTAATTTCTTCGTAGAATATTTTGTAGTTTTTAGTGTTCAAGTCTTCTACCTTTCTGGGTATTTTTACTACTAAGATTTTATTCTTTTTGATATTATTGTAAATGAAACTTTAAAAAAATTTATTTTCAAAATGTTCACTGCTAGTGTATATATATATGCAACTGATTTTTGTAAATTGAACTTATATCCTGCAAATTTGCTGAGCTCATTTATTAGCTCTGGTAGTTATTTCTGCAGATCATTAGGGTATTCTATATATAAGATCATGTTATGTATTTGCAAATAGAGATAGTTCTCATTTCAATTTCTGATTTTAGTAATTTGAGTCTTTTCTTAATCTGGCTAAAGTTGTGTTAATTTTGTTTATCTTCTCAAAGAACTAACTTTGGTTTTATTGATTTTTCTGGTTTTCTATTCTAGATTTTATTTATTTCTTTATTATTTCTTTTGGATTTTCCTTGCTCTTTTTTTCCCTAATTTTTTAAGATGGAAGCCTAAGTTATTAGAGAGCATTCTTTTTTAATGTAAATGCTTATAAGTATAAATGTCCCTCTGGGCACTCCTGCTTCCCATCAGTTTTAGTATGTTGAGCTTTCAGTTTTGTTCGTATCAAACTATTTTCTAATTTCCCTTGTGATTTTGTCTTTGACCCACTTGTCAATTTATGTATGTTGTTCAATTTCCACATATTTGTGAATTTTCTAAAATTCTGTTATTGGTTTCTAATTGTATTCCATTGTGGTCAGAGAAGACAGTATTATTTCAGTAATTTTAAATTTGTTGAGACTTGTTTTGTTGCCTAACATGTGGTTTATACTTGAGAATGGTCCATATATACTTAAAAAGAATGTATTCTGCTATTGGTGGGTGAAATGTTCTATGCATGTTGGTTAGGTCTTGTATTATAGTGTTATACATATATTTTATTTCCTTGTTTATCTTTGTCTGACTTTTATATTCATTATTGAGGTGGAGAGCTGAATTCTCCAACTGTTACTGCTGAACTAATTTTTTTAGTTTAATTCTGTTACTTTTTACCTCATATATTTTGGACTTTGGATACTAGATAAATATGTTTATAATTGCTGTATCTTTTTCTTGTATTGACCCTTTTAACATTATATAATATCTTTCTTGCAAAAAATAATTTTACTAAAGTCTTCTTTGTTTGATATTAGTATAGCCACTCCAGCTTTGCTTTGGTTATAGTTTGCATGTATTATTTTTTTCCTTTTATTTTCTATATATTTGTATCTTTAATCTAAAACTATCTCTTATGGACAGCATATATTTAGATCGCGTTTTTAAAATCTGTTCTGTCAACCTGAGATGGTATCTCATTGTACTTTTGATTTGCATTTCCCTAATAGCTAGCGGTGTTGAGCATCCTTTCATATGTTTCTTGGATATTTGTCTTGGAAGAAGTGTCTGTTCAGGTCCCCTGCCCATTTTTTGAATGGATTATTTGTTGTTGTTGTTATTGAGTTGTATGAGTTCTTTGTATATTTTGGATATTAGGACCTTATTGGAGGCATTGCTTGCAAATATATTTTCCCATTTGGATGGTGGTCTCTTTACCTTGTTGATGGTTTCTTTTGCTGTGCAGAGCTTTTAGTTTGATTTTCATTCATTTATTTTTGCTCTTCCCTTGCCTGTGAGGTCAAATTCATAAAATCCTTCTTAAGTCCAAGGTCCATGAGTTTAGTCCCTTTGTTCTTTTCCATGCAATTTATTGTTTCAGGTATTATATTCATATCCTTAATCCATTTTGAGTTAATTTTGGTGTGTGGTGATAGACAGCAGTCTAGTTTCATTCCTTTGCAGGTGGCTTTCCAGTTTTCCCAGCACCACTTACTGAAGAGGCTTTCTTTTCTCCACTGTATGTTTTTGGCTATTTCGTTGAAAATTATTTGCCCATATTAACATGGGTTTAC